ATGTGTGTGAGTGCATGGGTGTGAGTGCACGTGTGTGAGTGCATGTGTGTGCATGTGTGTGCCTGCACGTGCAGGAGTGTGCACATGCCCCGGGCTGCCCAGGAGCAGGACTGTGGGGCAGTTTTGGGGCCACACAGGACAGAGTCTCATGTCTGCCACGTTCGCCAGTGCCTCAGCCAAAGCACAAACTCCCGCACAGCTGCCTCTGCCCTGGACATGGTGCTCTGCCTCCTCAGAGTCATCTGATGTGACCACTTGAGGCTCCTTGGGAATTCATTTGTGGAGATGCTGGTCCTGTCTGGAGAGAGTAGACTGCACCAGCCGAGGACCACGGACGTCCAGGAAGCACCATGAGCCACTAACCCTTGGCCATCCTGCCTGTCCCTCCCCGACCCCAGGGATAGACCCCAAGTCAAGGAGGAGGGGTGGGTGCAGGCTTTGCTCCCCCGAGTGCTTTGTGGCCCCTGAGGTTCTGAGATTGCAGTAGGTGTGTGTGAGCGTGTGGAGCGTGTGTGTGCCTGTTCACACGCCTGTTTGTGTTTGCATATGTGCCAGTATGTTTACACGTGCGTGTGAGTCCGTGTGTGTGTGCACGTGTAGATTTGGCTTTCATCACTAAGGATCTTTCAGAATGCATCCCATTAGTGTCCCCTCCTTCCATGTGGCTCTAAGAAGTAAGTGCCACAGATAAGGCCAGAGGCTCAGAGAGTTGCCCAAGGCCACCCTGCCCATCCTGCCTGGCTTCAGAATCTCTCCTCTGTGGGGCTGAGTCCTTGGACCGTGGTACCCACTGTTGAAGAGGACACTTCCACTACTCCTGTCTTCACCTGCAGAGACACTGCTCCCCCATTCCCTGAGGAACTAGAACCCACACACTCCTCCTCCCCAGCTCTCAGACCCCTGTTTCATATCTTTCTCACCAAACAAGAGTGTAGGAGACCCCGGCTGGGGTGAGTGTGAATGACTGCATAGCCCCTTCCACTGTCTGCCTCCTTTCGGGGCCCACCTGACCCCAGCCCTTCCTGGCACGTAATTGGAAGAGTCCCAGCCAGATGATCTTGGCTGCTCACCTTGGCTGTGTCATACCCAGGCCCTTCCCTGGCCTGCTCCAGAGGGTTCCTCTGAAGGTGCGATTCCCACACGGGGGATCTCTGGGCCGAGGACAGAGACTCACCTTCCTGCTCTATGGGCATGCTTGCCAGCCCACACACAGGCACCTTCAGCCCTGTAGGTCCTAGCAGGCTGCTTTTCCACCAGCTGGCTCTCACAATGGTTTGAAGATGCTTTTTCCTCTATCTTATTTGCTGTTCCCTCCAGCTTCCTGTCAGTTGCTAATTCAATCCTTTCCCTCTTTGATCTAAATCACCGATAAAATGTCAAACCACAGATTTGGCCCCCGTGTGAGGCCAGGCAGGGGTGTCAAACAGGTTCCAACTTCGGAGACTGCGCTCCCTGGGACTATGACCTCAGTTTGTTCGCTTATAAAAGTAGGACAACAAACTAAGTCGCTCATGAGGCTCAAGTGACTCTGCCGCCCTCAGCCCCTGTGAACACTCACTGAACGCTAGAGACTGTGGCTAGGGTGCAGGAGGCCTCCCATCAGGCTCTGTTATTCTGTCTAGCCCACATTTCTGGTTGTCGAACTTTGGGGTCTGAGGACAGGCTTTGCCAAGCTTTGTTGGCATTGCGGACAATAAGTGCACAGATTCTGACTGAAGCCTTGGCCAAGGAAGCCATCAACAGTGGTACCAATGTTAACTTTATTATTATTATTATTTCTAGTGACAGAGTCTCACTCTGTTGCTCAGGCTGGACTGCAGTGGTTTCAATCATAACTCACTGTAACCTCAAACTCCTGGTCTCAAGTGATCCTCCCACCTCAGCCTCCTGAGTAGCTAGGAATACAGGTGCGCCACCATGCCTGGCTATTTTTTCATGTAATTTTTTTTGTAGAGAGGGTCTCACTACGTTGCTTAAGCTGGTTTCTTACTGTTGGCTTCAAGAGACCTGCCTTGGCCTCCCAAAGTGCTTGGATTATAGACATAAGCCACCACACCTGACCCAATGTTAAATTTAAAGTTAGTTTTTTCCCTCCTGGCCTCACTCTTGTAACTCTTCTATCTGCCACTGGGGCCAGGGTCCATCCTGTGGCTCCCACCCTTCTTGGAGAAGGAGAACGCACCCAGGTCCTGGTAGTGTTCGGTTCTTCCAGGCCCATCAGAGCTGGTCACAGTTGCAGGACTGGCCTGGAGGTCCTCTGTGCTGGGCTCTGTTCTTAGTCCACACTTAAGTTCTCGTAGCACCCAGCACCTTGGAGGCTGTCATTGTCAGCTCCTTCTTAATTCCACCGATTGCACATTTTCCAGACTGAAGTCACTGCTTGGTCCAGACAGGAGCAAAGAAAGCCATGGCTGCTTGCTGGGACCTCCTCTTCTCTGAGCTGCCAGGTTCAGAAACCCCTCTATGCCTGTGTGGTCACCGGCATCTACCACCAGTCTTCCTGCCTCCTGTGCCTTCTATGCCAGTTTCTTCATGCCATCTTTTGTGCATGTAAAATCCTGAAGTCTTCCAAGAGCATTAGTGGCAGTGAACTGAGTGCTCACAGTAGCTTTTCCGTGTCTGTTATTAACGCTTCCAGCAGTTCTTGAGGGTTCACCTCAACACAGCTTTAAGAAGAGGGCAGCTGAGGGCTGAGTCCCTGGCTGAACGAAGAAGGGTCAGGCCTGGCCCTGAGACCACTCCTCAGAAATGCACCTGATACAACTAGTGTCTCCTGTAGATTCCTCAACTTCCTCCTTGCTGGGGAGTTCTAGCTTATTCTGCTTTGGAGTGTCTTGCTGTTGTCCTGGGCTATGCTACTGTTTGCCCTCTGCCCGGTACTCACTCCAGTTGTAGCTGAGCTGTTTGAAACCTGCTCTCCTACGTTCTGGGGAAAATCTCGGGCCCTCCTCTAGCTGATGCTGTCAGCCGGACAGGCATTTATTATTTGAGGGCCCTATTGCTTCCTTCCTGCAGGCAATTCTTCATGGGCCTGCTCTGGGAGCCCTTGGCCCTGGGAGGTGGAACTGCCCAGCTTTAATGGTGGAATATGCAGGGGGAGTATCTCCCCGAGTCTCCTTCCTCACCAGACGCTGTGAGGCCCCTGTCTGGGCTGTGGATTGGGGTTGGGGAGGGCGGCATGGCATCCCCGGGTCCCATCTCACTGGCTGTGCATCCCTGTACTGCACCCCAGGCCTATGTGCTTCGTGAAGCAGCTCGAGGTCCCTCCATATGGGAGCTACCGGCCCAACGTGGCCCCTACCACGCCCAGGGCCAACTTGGCCAAGGAGCTGGAGAAGTTCTCCAAGGTCACCTTTGACTACGCAAGTTTCGATGCTCAGGTTTTTGGCAAACGCATGCTTGCCCCAAAGATTCAGACCAGCGAAACCTCACCTAAAGCCTTTCAATGTAAGTTGGGGAGAATTGTCGTTGTTTCTCTTCCGTGTCGCTCCCGGGAGGGGCAGGATTCAAGGGGCAGTGGAGGAGGGACCGTCTCAAGGAGCTCCTAGGGAGGGACTCTCTACCCTCGTGAGGGGACCACGATGCAGGCTGCAGGTCTTAGCTGTCCCAGTGGGCACTGTGGTGGCTTTCTTGGGGCCTGCATCTCACTCCTGCTGCCACCTTCATGTTCACCATTAACATTTATGTGTCTTCTAATTATTTGTGAAACAAAACCCAGATCCGTTATGAGTGTGTGTGTCCAAAGACTTCAGAGCAACTCCACTAACATGGTTCACCCTGGGAGACCCCACTCTCCCCACTGTCCTCGTGCTACCTGTTTAATCCCAATGCAGCCGGGCGTCCATTTCCCAGCACTGCCTCTGGGGAGGGTCAGGCTGTGGGCTGGGTGGGGCCAGATGACTGCGGGGCTGGGCCCAGTGCCCTGGCGGGAAGCCATTGGTCTCCTGGTGGGGACCGTCTTACTGGATACAATGTGTTATTTGTGACATTAGTGACAAATTTTCTGGGTAATTGTACTGACAAAAATCATTCCTACAAATCTTTCAGAACAATCCTTTCTGTCTTGTCTTGTCACTTACGTCCTAGTTTGTGGAATAAGCTCATTAGCCCCGAAATGCATGTGGAATGGAAAAGCATTCGGTGCACACGAGACTGGGAGGGGCGTTTTGTGGCAGATGCTGTCAGCCCGAAACGTGACAGTGACGGGTTTCCTACATGAGAATAATATACGTACTGATTGCTGCAGCCCCAGTGGGGTATGAGCCTCTCCTCCTAACCTCGGCAGAGCCTGCTCGTTAGGGTGGAGGACTTCCTGCCTCCGGGCACACACGCCTGCTTGGATGAGGGAATGCAACGGTACCAGTGGAGAGGGGACCACACGATCAGCTTTCCAATATATCTAGACCTTTCTGGATATACTGGTGACATCGTGATTGCTGAGAACATCGTGCATGAGAGTGATTTTGCGGCTACAGTACAATTACTAGAAAAGATAACATTCCGTGCCTTCATTCGCCATGTTCATTTGAGCAGTAATGTTACTTTTTTGAGGCAGTGATGGTTACTGGGGACACCAAGTCAGCCTAAATATGGGTACACCCTTTTGAGATGATGTCACAGAATTTTCCTATTTGGGCGATACGGCACACTCATCCTATTTACAGAATGCTTCCGTTTCTGATAGACAAGTTATTTTTGTTTGAAGTATCAGGGCTGCTGGAATGTCTTGGAGGCTTTTATTCTTTTCGCCCAAATTTTCACTGAGCCAGAAACGAGATTGTCTCCTCAGTCCCCTAGAGGAGCGTGGGTGGGAATGAGGTGTGTGAGGACATGGGACTGGGATGGGTGGCCAAGCCCCTGGCCCACGTCGACATAGCTGTGCCCTGGGCCCTCGAATCGCTCCCAAAGTCCCCCCTCCCCACTGACTTGTCTGCATTGCCGCCTCTTTTCAAGTTGTGTATCAGCCTGGTGTTGTTCCCTTTTTGCAGCCAAACCTTTCCCAAAGGCCTCTTCCCCCAGGCACAGCCCCTCCAGTAGTTACGTGAGGAGCACTTCATCCTCTTCTGCATTTGACTGCTCACACGATGCCGAGGCTGCACACATGGCTGCCACTGCCATCCTGAACCTCTCCACACGCTGCTGGGAGATGCCTGAGAACCTCAGCACGAAGCCACAGGACCTCCCCAGCAAGGTCAGTGCGTCCGCCTTTCTTGGGAGGGGTGAGTTGGTGGAATTTGCAGTCAGGCCCACCTGCTGTCCGCACAAACTGTCTCTAGGAATGGCTCCTGTCTAGCTGGCAGTTCTCATTCTTTACTTTTTCTCCCTCCTGCCCATGGCCCCAAGGACCGCAGGGCTTGGATGGGTCCACCAAGAGAACCTGGTGTACTGAGCGAAGGGGGACCGAGGGCTGTGAGCACAAGTTCCCACGTGTCTCCCCCTCTGACTGTGAGGCTGAGCGAAGGGGGACCGAGGGCTGTGAGCACAAGTTCCCACGTGTCTCCCCCTCTGACTGTGAGGCTGAGCGAAGGGGGACCGAGGGCTGTGAGCACAAGTTCCCACGTGTCTCCCCCTCTGACTGTGAGGCTGAGCGAAGGGGGACCGAGGGCTGTGAGCACAAGTTCCCACGTGTCTCCCCCTCTGACTGTGAGGCTGTGCACACACGGTGCGCCCACGTGTCTCCCTCTGAGCCTGAGGGTGGTGCACACACATTCCCAGGTGTCTCCTTCTGAGTCCAGGGCAGTGCATGTGCCGTGTTCACATGTGTTTTCCGCAGAGTCTTGTGGTTACTGACACACTCTCCTTGCTCAGAGGACCTGGTCCTACCCGTGTTTATGACATGTCCTGAGGGACTGGTTTTTGTGCTGTTGGGGGGCAAGAGGAATTGCAGGGCCTCCTTCATGGGAAATCAGGAAATGGCAGTTGGATTTTTCCGCTCTCGCTGCCTGTCTATCCGCGTTGTTCTGCTTCCTTCTATGGGAACCAGTGTTCTGGACTCTGTACGTTTGATTAAAATGTACCAGAAGGCACACACGGGAAGGGGCTGCAATCGCTAACAGATTTCCCCTTTGCAATTGCAGTCTGTGGATATTGAGGTAGATGAGAATGGAACCCTGGACTTGAGCATGCACAAACACCGCAAGCGAGAACAGGCTTTCCCCAGCAGCAGCAGCTGCAGCAGCAGCCCCGGCGTGAAGTCTCCTGACACCTCCCAGCGCCAGAGCAGCACCAGCGCCCCCAGCAGCTCCATGACCTCTCCCCAGTCCAGCCAGGCCTCCCGCCAGGACGAGTGGGACCGGCCCCTGGACTACACCAAGCCTAGCCGCCTGAGAGAGGAGGAGCCTGAGGAGGTGGGTGCAGGCGCCTGGGCAGTCAGGAGGCTGCTTGCCCTGCCTGAGGTGGTTGTAATGTTGGCTTTTCAAGGAAGCTCCTCCTCACAGGTTCTGGCAGAGCCTCAGGGGGAGACATCCCTTTTCGTGAAGGGTCCTTCATCTTCTGAGCGGCTGGGACTCAGGGGCTCACCCTCTGGGTGGGATTTTCAGCAGCAGGGCCATGCTGTGCCCTTGTCTGTCAAGAAGGAGGTGGTCTTGTCACCCCTGTGGAGTGTGGCGGCCAGTACCAACGTGGACACTCTGGAGGCATGGGGAGGAGAAAGGCGTCTTTCAGATCCCATGAGCTGACTGGGGAAAAGCTCAGGTTTCTTGGGTTTTGAGCCTCCCACCACCATGGGCTTAGGATCGCCCATGGTGGGCGGTGCCAGGTCCCTGAGACCAGGACCAACCTGGCGTGGCTGTTAGAACTGTGATCTGGGAAGCAGGGGATCCTTCCCTTTTTAGTTATTCCTTAAAACATGTGAAAGAAGAGCCCTCAGAGGCTAATTCTGGGCTTTTCCCGAGGAGGTGTGTGTCCTGAAGAGAAAAGTCCAGCTCTGAGGGCAGCCCAGGGTCCAGGTGGCAGCAGCAGCGTGTGTGAGACTAGCAGGCCCCTCTCTCTCTCCCTCTCCTTCCCCTCCCCTAAAGCCCCTCAGGAGGTGGAAGGGGTCCCTGTGGAAGGAGCAGGGCCAGACCCTCAAGGAGGAATGAGGGAGGTGGGGCTAGGCCCCTATGAAGGGTGCGGGCTGGATCAGGCCCCCTCCATAATCCGGCCTCAGTGGGGAGCCAGACTTCCTCACTGGCTCCCACACCACCCTCAGGTTGCCGCATTTTATAGAGGAGGAGCCTGGGAACCCACAACAAGGTCTGATTGTCCGAAGACTGTTCTTATGCTGGGCCGTGGGCTTCAAGGGCATTTCCTCATTTGACCCCCAAAAACCCGTGAGGGACTGCTGTTATCTCAAGTTTGAAAGAGTGGCACCTGGGCCCTAGGAGCCTGAGCCACCTGCCTGGGACACATGCGAGTGCTTGTCAGGACTGGAATTTGAGCTCTGGTTACAGCATCCTGCAGAATGTTGGCCTTCTGACCCTTCATGGACCCCTGGCCCCTCCGTGGGGGGGACTGTGCCCTGCTTACCTGTGTCCACAGCACTGAGCCTCCATACCCAGCATTCAGTTTGAAGCCTTTATCAAGTACCTGCCATGGTCAAGGCATCGCACTGGTGGGCGTGTCGGGCCAGGTGGTTTCAAGACCACTGCAATGATCGTAATTTGTATATTATTACCCTCGTTGTGCCATCTCATCTTCATGGCATTTCAGTAACACTTATTTAGTGCCTACTGTCTGTTGAGTGCCATCCCTGGCTCTGAAGGGACAGTATCCTGATGTTTACACTGTGGAGTGACGTGGTGGAAGGGACCCACGCACCTGAGGCCAGGGAGGGTGTCAGGAGCTGCCACACTGGGCAGCACCAGGCCTTCTCATTTCTGGGGCAACCCAGGAGCTCTGGCTGAGGTGGGGGAGGGATCCGGCCCCTCGGGCGTGCTGTCTTCTGTGTTTCGCTGGGGAGTCAAGCCTTCCTCCCTTATCCAGAAGACGGGAGACTCCAGGCACTGTCCTGAAGGTTCCTCTCCCTCGCCCACCGGGTTGGGCGCCCAGGCCTCCCCGCCAGCCGGTTAAAACGTCTCCCTGCTGGTTTTTTTCAGTCAGAGCCAGCAGCCCATTCTTTTGCTTCTTCTGAAGCAGATGACCAGGAAGTGTCGGAGGAGAATTTTGAGGAGCGGAAGTATCCGGGGGAAGTCACCCTGACCAACTTTAAGCTGAAGTTTCTCTCCAAGGACATAAAGAAGGAGTTGCTCACGTGAGTCCCTGCTTTGGCCGGCACAGCTCCTAGGAGACCCTCTGTGGCCTGGGGAGGAACAGGCCCCGGCCCTGACCCATGACGAGTGGGTCTGCTCAGGCTTCCTCCGACCTGTCCCGACCACCTTGATCCGGGCAGCCTGCGACAGGAGCCAGAGCAGTCAGAGGTTTCCCAACACCTGTGCGCTGTGGTTGGCTTTTCTGCAATCTTCGAAAAGTGATTAAGAACAAAGAAATTCCCTGGCCAAGCTCACCAAGCAGGACAGAGCAGAGCAGGGGCAGAGTGGAGGAGAGTTCCTCAGAGAGCTCCACTGGAAGCCCTCGGGGCAACCAGAGGCCCAGCCCTCTCCCTGAGGCCGCAGCTGGGCATGTTCTGCCCAGGGCTCCGTGGCCAAGGCCTGGAATGTACTGCTTTAGGGCTCACCACCCTCAACTCTGTCATGCTGGCTGGCCCAGATGCTGTGTGTCTGAGCTGCTCCGCACAGGGCTGGAACAGTCAAAGTTGCTGATGGATAATGGTCAGATGTCAGTGACCTTCAGGTCAGCCTTCATTGCCAGCCACCTCTGCTAGGGGACTGTGAGAGGCTGTGCCTGGCACCTGCTCCACAGGTGATCCAGCTCTCACATGTGCTCAGAGTACATTTCTGGGGTCCCTCTTCTCCTCACCCTGAACCCCTCTTGTACCCTCACACCTGTGGCTTGCCCTCCTGGGAGTGGCTGGATCCAGGGAAGGCCTTGCTGCTTCAGGGCCTGGAAAAGGGAGGAGCTCCCTGCCTAAATACTCATGGGCACATGCACGGGCACACACAGCACATGTGCGTCACCCGCACCCTAACTTTAAGCTCAACTTTAATTTGGTTCCTTCTTCTTCTTGAGTTAAGTTGTGTGGGAGAAACTTCCAGCCTGAGAGGCACCGGCTGTCCTCCAAGGACTGAGGGGAGGAGGAGCCACGGGCCAGGAGTGGGCATCAGTCGCCCTCGCAGAGCAGGCTTAGCCTGAGGGACAGGTACACACCACTCTCTGGCCTGACACTCTTTTTCCTTTGTCCAGCTGTCCCACCCCTGGCTGTGACGGCAGCGGCCACATCACTGGGAACTATGCCTCCCACCGCAGGTTTGTCTCCCGCTCGGGTCTGTCTGGCCTGGGTGCTTCTTGGTGGGTCTTCCTCCTCTCCTCCTCCTCTGCTCCCCTCTGTGGCTTACCCCGATATCCCATCTCTTCTCTTTCAGCCTCTCTGGTTGCCCTCTTGCTGACAAGAGCCTCAGAAACCTCATGGCTGCCCACTCTGCTGACCTCAAGTATGTTTGCGCTCCCTGACCTCCTGTCTCTGGGGCGGCACCCTCGCTGTGCTCTCCTTCCATGAGGCTCCTGCCAAAATCAGCCTTCTCCAAGGTGCCAAGCCTCAGCTGGCCCTAGCTCTCCTGAGACGGGCAGAGGGGCAGGGCCGTGGAGGGGCCGATTCTGCTTGGCTGGGGCTGCTCTGCCTGCGTGCCCCTGCTCTGAGCTCTGCTGTTCACCTCTCCGCTGGGTGCTAGGGGCTGCTGCAGGCTCCTGTGCTGCTCTTGCCCCATTCCCCACCCTCCAGCCTCTCCTGAAGACCCCCGACAGGGCTGTCTGGGCCTGCCTTCTCACTGCCCTAGAGATTTGGGGAAAGCCCAGAACCGACCAGGGAATGGAAGCCCTGCCGTGGCTCAGCAGGCCACAGGCTGCGCGGCTCTTGCTGAATGAACTGAACGCTGATAATGAAGAGAAAGCTCCTTGTCCTCCCCTCTCCTGTCATGCTCCAGCTGCTTCTGCCTTGGCCCTGATGCCCTTCCTCCATGCTTATGCCTTCTGTTTGCTGGGCTCACCCGTTTCTGCTTCTGCACCTCCCTGCCCCTACCTAACACATGGGCAGGGCAGGCCCTGCAGGCACCAGCTAGCCTGCTTGACAGTCCCGCACAACCAGGCGCAAGCACCCAGAGGTTTCCAGGTATCAGTGTCCTCTTGGGGTTGGAGTCAGGAACTGTTATTGCCTTTGGTTTTCATGCCTCCAGTTGTGCTGTGACTCCACAGCCTATGTCACCCTGAGCCACGGGGAGCACCTCCTGGGCACCGGGGTTGAGTTGAAGCCTTGGAGGAAGGGGGTCCCATTCTTGTCTCCTCAGGGCACCCCTCTCCAGGGGTGTCCCTCCCTCCCATAGGCCTCTGTGTTGGGGGCCCTGAATTCAGGTCAACACACCCCGTCTCTTTCCATTCTGGGGCCAGACAGGATCCCGGGCACTGGTGCCTCTAAGATGAGGAAATGAAATTGCTGAAGGCTTCTGGGACCGCAGCTGGCTCAGAGCTGGACAGAAAGCTCTGAGTCTCCCAGAGCCCCCACCAGCAGTCTTGTCTCTGTTTCTCTCTGGAGGCTGCCCTGGCCGCAGCAGCCAGGAGGAGTGTGTCATCGGGCCCTTCAGTTCCCACAGGGTGGGGTGCGCCATCTCAGTTTCCTTCCTGGAAGTTAATAGCTTCCACATAAGCATTTCTGAGGCTTAGCTCACCACAGCCGATTCACACATGGACTTATGCATTCATTCTGCCCCTCACTTTGTCTAGTCCTAGAAACCCAGGAAACAGTCCTGCAGCTTCTGGGACTGTCCTCTCTCCCTCTTTCCTTCTCTTGCCATCTTTCTTGCATTCCTTTTTCCTTCTCCAGTTCTGCTTTCTTTTCTATGATTAGTTCCCATGGTGTTTCCCATTTGAGGGCCTGAATAATTGAAGGGCGAGAAATGTGGCTGCGTGCACCCAGTGGCCCCAATGTCACCGTGTCCTTTCTGTCCTGCTAAGTGGATGCCCAGGTGGACGAAAGGAGCTTGGCACGGTTCCGGCCTGGAGACATGGCCGTCTGGGAGAGTTAGTGCTTTTTTAAGACTAAGAGCCTGTGAAGAACTTTAACTCCAGACTTCTTTAGAAATAACGACCAAAAGCCTCCCCTGTGTGAAAGTGAACCACTCATCAGCATCGGCAAGGTGTGGGCAGGCAGCCAAGGCCTCCAGGCTCCTTCAGAAGCTCCACTCTCCCCCAGGGGCCTTTCCATGGGAGGCCGCTTCCTCTCCCCACTCCGACCACTGCACGAGCTTGGGACGATGGTGGTCCTGCCCCGCCACGTGTCCTGGTGTACCAACCTCCTTGCTCTCTGCCACCTCCTGTGTGAGGGGGCATCAGGCACTGGCTCCTCCTGATCAGCCTTGTGGCAGCCATGGGTGAAGGTGGCCTTGAGAAAAATGAGGTTCCTTTCATGACCTCCCTGTCCACAACTGGCTGCAGTGACAGTCGGATGATGTGTGTTCTGTGTTTTAAGTGAATCCCAAGGGTGTTCACTCTTCCCTCCCATGTGTCTGATGTGGTCAAGGGCTGAGAGGACATGGCTGCCTCCGGCCACAGCCACACACACCTGCCAGGGCATGACAGGCTTTGTGCAGCGTGAAGAATGCCTGTCCACAGCACAGGGATGGGGTTGAGAGAGGTGAGACCTGGTGTGTATTGCCAAGGCAGAGGGTGTCCCTCAGACATGGTGCTCCCTTCTGCCCAGATGGGACACTCAGAAACAGGCAGTGGGAGGGGTGGAGGTGGCTCCAGATTCCTGCAGCGGACCCTGGGGGTCCACAGGGCCATAAGGGGCATGCAGAGGGGACACCTGCTCCTCTGACTATGTGAGCACTTTCCTCTCTTGGACACAACTCTTGAGAAAAGCCATTGAATCCGGCCTCAGTGAGGAGTGCAGGACGGCCCCACCTGTGTGTTAGGTACCTGACGGCCCCTTGGGAGTTATACCCCCACCTGAGACTCACTCACAGATGCCATCGGGGAGTATCTGCCCTGCTGCTGATGCCACTCACAGCCCAATGCTGTGCGTATCCCTGTCGAGGCCTGGAGCTGCTGTGGGTCTGTCACTCTGGCACCTGAGTGGCCACTTGCCCACCGCACTGAACCGGAGCTCTACCCGATGCTTTCCTGCCACTGAGACAAGGAGCTGGAGCCCCACGTGGCCACTTGAACAGCTACCAACCCAGGAAGGAGAGGCAGGCCATCTTCAGTTCTCTGGGCTGGCCAGCAAGGTATCCAACGTGTGGCCCACAGGGCAAGGATGAAGGAACCTGAGACTCCCCACGGGGGCACCCCGAGAAAACTCCTAGGGGCTGAAGAGAAGGTTGCAAGAGGTGGGGCCAGCCCTGCTGTGCCGCCATAGCCCTTTGGGTGCCAGGCTGTGCCCGGCCGCAACTTCCTCTAAGCGAGGAGATGTCCTGCCCCAGTGGCCAGATGTCACATGTGCTGGTGGAAGACTCCGGTGAGGAAGGGCCGGCAGCACGGAAAGTGAGACGTCCTCCCTGGGGTCTGAGCACCACAGCAAAGTGCCCATGAGTAGCAGGTGATCTGGACACAAGCACTGAACTCTTGCCTGGCTCCTGCAGGGTCAGGATGCTCGTGAGGGGTGAGGCACAGACAGCAGCCCTGACGGGGGACGGATCTACCCGCACAATCAGGTCACCTCCTCCCACTCTAACATCAGCAGGAACTCACATATTTTTCCTCAGTGGACATTTGGAAGAAAATAGCATCCGTGCTTGTGATATTAAAGTGGAATTTTGTACCACCTTACGTGATGCATTCATCACATAGTTTTGGGTGTATAAAGTTGGACTTTTGTGCTTCTCCTTAGTCTGCTGTAAGCTACTGGCTGTGTGAACTCTGAAGTCACGCCACACAACAGCCAGGCCTGGCATGGCCAGCGCCATCTGCTATGCAGCAGGTGTGCAAAAAAGCCTCTGTTCATTTACCAGCCCATAGTGGCAACCCTTTGTGAGGGCAAGCTCCCAGCCCGTCCAAGAAGATGAACTGGTCTTAGGATCTGGAGAACGCATGCTTGAAGTTATGACTCAGATATGCTCTGAATGCCTTTAGTGCAGCCCAGACCCTACAGAAGTCCAAGCTGGGAGCCCTTTGTGTCCTTGGGCTGCTGTGGACCCTGTAGGCCTGTCCCAGTGCCCAGGTTTGGTGTCTGGGTGTAAACCAATGCTGGAGCAGCAGTTGGCTGCTGTCCTCTCAGACTTCCTGGTCTCCCTTGGGGAGACAGGGGAGCAAAGTACTGAAGCCCTGAGATGATCTCATCAGACCTCTGTTGCTGGCAGTAGGCAGCTGGGGTGAACATCAGTGATGTTCCTCTGTGGACAAGGGAATGTGAGTGGGCTCACTCCAGGGCTGCGCCCGGAAGGCTTTCCTCTGGGAGTCCCAGGGCTCTGGGCCGGTTCCAGTCTTCCCGGGCTCTGGTTCCAGTTCTGCTTTCCTCTGCAGGTGCCCCACGCCCGGCTGTGACGGCTCTGGCCATATCACAGGGAACTACGCTTCACACCGGAGGTGAGCCTGCCGTGCCCTCAGGTCCTGGGCCCCAGGGGTGGGTAGGGAATCTCTTCCTTAGATGAAGATCGGAACGCTGGAGTCCATTTCCATCTCTTTAATCTGAATTGTTGCCATTTCCAGAACCTGATTAGATTGCCCTCTGCAGTAAGATAAAAAGACAAAGTGTCAGGGTTAGGGGCTCATGGAAATGCTGCTGCTTCTTTTTTTTTTTGTTTTTTTTGTTTTTTGGAGACGAAGTCTCCCTCTGTCGCCCAGGCTGGAGTGCAGTGGCCGGATCTCAGCTCACTGCAAGCTCCGCCTCCCGGGTTTATGCCATTCTCCTGCCTCAGCCTCCCGAGTAGCTGGGACTACAGGCGCCCGCCACCATGCCCGGCTAATTTTTTGTATTTTTTTAGCCAGGATGGTCTCGATCTCCTGACCTCGTGATCCGCCCGTCTCGGCCTCCCAAAGTGCTGGGATTACAGGCTTGAGCCACCGCGCCCGGCTGAAATGCTGCTTCTTCTGACCCTGCTGCCTCGTGCGAAGGCTCCGTGTCTGTGGATTCTGCTTCTTACAATGGATCCATCAGTTGCCCTCACTCTCTCCCACCCCAACCTGGGGTCACAGAGCGTGAGGGGCGAGGATGAGATGAACGGGTGTGAGAAGCCGCTGTTCTAGCACTAAGGTGGCCTTTTTTCCTCTTTCAAAATCAGCTTGTCCGGCTGCCCTCGTGCAAAGAAAAGTGGAGTCAAGGTGGCGCCCACCAAGGACGACAAGGAGGACCCCGAGCTGATGAAGTACGTTGGGCGATGCTGGCTCTTTCATTGCTTTGCAGAATTGAGATTTTCCTGTGTTTTGTAATGTAAAAAATGCCTACTAGAGTCCCTTTTCATTAATACAATGGGTCACCTAACTGATCAATGCCAACTTTCGTTTTTATGGAAGCTCTCATACTGCACGTTGGCACCTATGAAGATGTGAGCCCTGAGTGTCGTATGGAGGGCATGGGTGCCAGAGCCTCCGGGCTTCTCGGGTCTGGAGTATTTGACGGGGCTGGGAGAGGCAGAGCACCCTTCTACCTATGTGTTAGGGCCACCTGGGAGTGGGCCAGGGCCTTGCAACCTGCAGACTTTCGTCTGCAGGAAAGGTGAGATGCAGAAGTCAAGGAGAAGAGGGTGGTTAGAAAGACGTTGAAGCTTCGAATCCCATGTGTCCGTCCACCCACACACCCATGCAGAGAGCTGGTAGATTGAGAGAGCCGGGAGGATCTAAACTGGACACCAGACACTGTTGGGTGAAGGAGAGGACATCTGTGGCCTTAAGTGACCCAAAGTCCTTGAGGCAAACAGAATCTCCTCTGTTGCTCTCCCCACTGGGGCAGGGTGGGGCTGACTGTCTTCGTGGGGCTGACAGGTGAACCCTGCCTCTGTGTTGTCTTACTCGGTGGGGGTTTGTGTCCTCGCAAGCCTATTCTCCCAATAGGGGGTGGGTTCCCTGCACTGCCCACTTGTAGGTGGGGGCAATGCTTTGCCACAGACTCAAACCGGGTGGCCCACTGGCCAATGTGCCCAGGACCAAGGTACTTTCCGAGCTGACATCTGGCAAAATGGGCAGTGGGTTCCCCAGCAGGTGAGCGCTGGAAATGATGGCTCTGGACACTTTGTTGCCCAGGGCCTTGGGGCTGGCTTGGTCGGGACAGGGCCCTACTATGTCCACAGGAAACAGGTTGCCCTGATTGTGTTACCTGCTGGGCCAAGGGCAGGCAGACCTCACCCCCGGGGAGGGGGCAACTTGTCCGAGATTGGGTTGCCCCTCTTGGTAGCTCGCTCCAGCTGTGCCCCTGGAGGAACCTAACTGACCAACATCACATCCTTCGGAAGGGCTGGCCCCAGCAGCTGTTTGGTGTAATAGGCTGTGGCTTGTTTGTTTATTTTTTATAATAAAACTGTAATGAATGCTAAATTAACAATGCAAAATTTGTGGTCGTTAGTACTATGAAGGCCGCACACTAAATGCTGAGGTGCAGAAAAAAACATTTCGCCCCTGAGAATCCAGGAATTTGATATGATCATATAAGTGCAACACCTTTATGGATTTGGCAAGGATCCTGCTGGCAGGGATGTTACAAGTGAATCGTGCTGCATTTGCAGATGACTAAAATCAAGATCAGCATTTTTCAAATTAACCAGGAAAAACAGTTTTCCTTTCTAATGTGCTGTCAACTTAGCTTTAAAAAAAACGAGAGTTCTGCAACCAAGTGGAGACTCGACTTTGAGAAACATTTCAGCATTTGCAGGATAGACGAAGTTCCTAATGGCCCCATGGCAGAGGGAACCTGACCACTTAACGCCTCCGTTTTACAGGGATTTGCCTCCCCAGCCATAAACTTTAACTGCATTTATAATTGCCTAACGTCTTTAAACAGATGCAGATCGAAGCAGAAACTCGAATGGATGTGTCAGGTCTTGCTGAGGGATGGGATTTTGTCAGCGTGCGTGAGCTGTGATCGGGAGAGCCTGGTGGAGCAAGTCCTTTTTATGACATCTCATGCCTGCACTATTTAAAACTGAGTCACATCAGGCACTTGGTGGTAAATCCCTTTGCCACAGCTTTATAACTGGTCATAAAAGTCCTTCGGAGGCGCCACCATGGGAGTCAAGAGGCGAATGTCCCCTGCCCTGCCCATTGTCCCTAGAGGGGAGCCCACGCTGCCCCTGGCCACACAGACACCTGACAAATGAAATGCACCTCTGGTTCCTGGTCCTGGCCGTGTTTCTCATGTCACTGGCACACACGGCTTCTGCCCCCCAATACGTGACAGGAAACACTAGCTCACCCAAGCAGCACAGAGGCCTCACCAGCTCAGTGCCCGCACCCCTGCCCCAGCACGTTTCAAACATGACGTCCCTGACGGCTTGAAAGTCTCCACACATGGTGTTGTGAGAAAGAGAACATACCTGAAATCTGAAATCCTCTCCATGTATGTGACCCAGGGGAACAAAAACAGTTTCCCTTGATGAAGGGGACTAGTGTTTTGCAAGAAAGGGAGTAAAAATAATTCAGATTTGGGCCAGGTGCTGTGGCTCATGCCTGTAATCCCAGCACTTTGAGAGGCCAAGGTGGGAAGATCACCTGAGGTCAGGAATTTGAGACCAGCCTGGCCAACATGGTGAAACCCCATCTGTACTAACAATACAAAAATCAACTGGGTGTGGTGGTGGGCGCCTGTAATCCCAGCTACTTGGGAGGCTGAGGCAGGAGGATTGCTTGAAGCCAGGAGATGAAGGTTGCAGCGAGCCGAGATCATGCCACTGCACTCCAGCCGGGGCAACAGAGTGAGACTCCGTCTCAACAATAATAATAATAATAATTCAGACTCGACCATGTAGAGTAACTGAAGAGCCACCTCCCATTTGGCCAGTGCCTCTTCCCAGCCCAGGTCCTCACCTCAGGGTCGGCTGTGCCTGGCACAGGTGCCCCCCAGGGCCCCATGGCTGGGAGGCATCCCCGTCTGAGAGGGGCTGGACATTGAATGTGAACTTCCCAAAGCCCCCATAGGGGCCGCTGGCAGCGTCTCTGCTCTGGATGGGGTTGAGACGGCCTTGGACTGGCTCAGGGAATGTCCTGTGAGTTTCTGAGGGCTGGGTGGGTGGGATGAGCAACAAAGGGAAAAGAATCCAGAGAGGGGCCTGTGGAGAGAGAAAGCAGGGCCCTGGCCGAGGTGGCTGGGAAGTGCCCGAAATGGCAGCTTCAGAGATGAGGCCAGTGTGGGGCAAGGAGCCAGATGCTGCCCTCCCTGCCCAGGCCTTGTTGACCTCCCACCGAGTAGCGCAGCTCTGTGCCCCCATCTCACCCCTGCAGCAGGAGCCTCTGCCACTGCCCCCGCCCCCCGCTACCGTCCTCCGGAGCGCTTCCTGCGCTGACTGTGACTTCCCTGTATCCCCGTGGATCTCTTTGTAAATGGAGCAATGTCCTCTCTTGGGGTCTTGTGTTGCCAGGTAATCATCACTGTGAGTGGGTGACAAATGGTAATCTGGATGAGTTTCACTGATGGAGAGATAAGAATGAGCCTTGCAGACTGAAGATCTTGTCCTGGGTTTGGAGTGGGTTCCTGGATGACTTGGTCCCTCAGATCCCCAAATCCTGGTCCAGGTCCTTCCCTGAGGCAGTGGGGACAGACACTCAGAGAGGTCTTGGGCCTGGGCCCTCTGCATTGTCATTGTCCTGTTTGTCTCTGACCCACACTGTGCTCAAGGCATTAGCCAATCTGAATTTATGTTATTTTCGTAACAGCCTCTATCCCTCTCCTGGAATACCCAGAACAAAGGAAAGGAAATCACCATTTAAGGCCAGCCTCAGGCAGGAGTGATTATGGGATATCCTAGTGAGTCTCCCCCACATGAGGTCTGTGTTCCTTCTTCTAGAACATAGATCTCAGTTGTGGCAAAGCTGCAACATCTATGGGCATTGCCCCCCGATTGCACTGGCCTCAGTCTGGGAGGCTGTGGGGTGACAGGCCCCTGCTGTCCCTGAGCTCCCCTGCTTAGGGTACCTTGTCATTCTCATGGATCCATAGGCCCCCAGGCCTATGCGTGATGCAAGCTCCCAGGGAGTAGCCTCTGGGTGGTCTCAGCTGACAACATGGCTCCACATTGCTGAGTGACACAGAAGTGACTCCAGCAGCAAGGCTCGGAGTGAACCTGAGGGCAGCCCCCAGGCCCAGGGTCATAGCTGCTGGAGGGCACGGAAAGAAGGTGGCTGCGGAGACTCCAGCCACACAGGGCCTGTGAGGCCAAGGCGGAAGAGGGAGCGTGGCCCTGCAGTCTCCACATTCAGCCGGGAAGGGCCAGGTTCTTCCCTGAGGCTCCAGGACCTCAGCTGCCCTCCCTGCCTCACTCAGAAGTCCTTTAATGTGTGATGCTGGGCTCCCTCGTGTCTGGCTTGGGAGTGTCTCCAGGCTTCTCCTCCCAACCCTTCGCCCCTGTACTCACCCTGGCCTTTCTGTGCCCAGGTGCCCAGTTCCAGGCTGTGTGGGGCTTGGTCACATCAGTGGAAAATACGCCTCTCACAGGAGCGCGTCCGGCTGCCCACTGGCCGCCCGCAGGCAGAAGGAAGGTTCCCTCAATGGCTCGTCATTCTCCTGGAAGTCCCTGAAGAATGAAGGACCGACCTGCCCCACCCCGGGCTGTGACGGCTCTGGCCACGCCAATGGGAGTTTCCTCACCCACCGGAGGTAACTGTGCCTGCAGGCCCTGCCCCTCTGCAGTCAGTAGGGACCCTTGCCTGGGGCCTGGGGCTGAAGCCAGACCAGGGCTCCGTGTGACCAAAGTTTCTCAAGGGAAAGGCCAGGCCACATGGGTAGCGGATGGGGGAGGCTAGCGGGTCTGTTGTGCCAGGTGATGCTCTTGGTTATGTCTTCACCATGCGTCTTCCCTCATAAGCCACCCTTCCCCATCCTGATGGAGCCCTTCCAGGCTGGGTGTTATGCTGGACACAGAGGCCACACATGAGCAGAGCCCTGGGTCTGACACGTTCTCTTAACAGGCTGACAACTTCTCAGGAAAAGTGTGTCTCCTACACCTTTTGCCCTGTCTCTCCCATGCACACCTCTTCTTTGAACTCTGGGCAGAGACCCCTGCCTGCTTTGCAAGGAGCTGGCGACCCCTCACTGTCTGGCAGTGGCCTGGGCAGCACTCACCACCTCTCACCTGCCCTCCAACACCTGCTGTGGAGCTGAGGGACCTTGCTTCACCAGCCCCCACTTCCTGTGTGTGTCCTATGGCGACAATAAGTGCCTGGTCCCATCAGAAACCCTGTGTCTGGGCCTAGGGCCAATGCTGACTCTTCATTCCCTCCCCTGTCCCTCCCCTCCCCTTTTTCCCTCCTCTTTCCTCTCCCTTCTCCCTCCTTTCCTCTCCTC